AGGCACACTCGTGTACCTTTAATATACTCCATGACACAAAGCTTTACGTCTCGCCTGGGCCCGTCAACACTGACATTGCACTGTTGATGACTGTACACACGTTTCCCGGTTTGAAGAGTCTTGTTTTATATTGTTTCTAGCGGATGCACGTGTACGAGTATTGCGACAACCTCATGAATCAATGGACCTTGCATGTCAACAGAGAACTGTTGAAGCTGGTGGATGCTCTGTGATGGTATGGAGCGTGTACAGTTCGAGTGATATGGAACCCCTGATACGTGTGAATACGACTGTCAGGCGACACGTACGTAAGCATCGTGTCTAATCACCTGCACCCATTCATGTCAATTGTGCATCCCGTCGGTCTTGGGCAATTCCAGCAGGACAATGCCACAGCACACACGGCCAGAATTGCTACAGTGTGGCGCCAGGAACACTCTTCAAAATTAAAAACAATTCCACTGGCTACCAAACTCTCCAGACATGAACATTATTGAGTAGATCTGGGATGTCTTGTAACGGGCTGTTCGAAGCGATCGTACTCTTACGAATTTATGGACATCCCTGCAGAATTCATGGGCTTAATTACCTCCAGCACTACATCAGACATTAGTCGAGTGCATGCCACGTTGTGTTGTGGCACCTCTGCGTGCTCGCGAGGGCCTTACTCGATATTAAGCTGGTGTGCCATTTTGTTGGCTCTTCAATGTATATGAGATGATTAAATTTTCTATTAAGGAATTTATTTACATAAATTTTCTTGAAATGTTGTCAGTGACAATAATTATTGCCATAACTCGCATTAGGTATTTCTCAGTGTCCTGTTGAAAGACAAAGGGGACTAAAGCAACGCCTGTGTTCAGCTTCATCAGAATCAATATTTTGTGTAAATTGCACCTCGAAGCGCTGGCCACGCCCCGTATGGAGTGGGCTTTTGGAATGCGTCCAGAGTTAATAACATGCGTTCGTCCTTAAGGTAGCACGTTGAGTCATGCCACAAGAAAGTTTCGCAATATTCTAACATGAAAAGTGCGTCTTTGCAGAATGTAGATTCTTCGTTCACACTTGAATAATTGAAGGATTTTTTCACAAGAACCAAACTAGTCCGTCATTTTTTAAATCCAAGATTTGTGATTTTTCAGGAAGCACCAATAATTTCATAGTGTAGTGGTGCATAGTAATTTATTTATGATTTTTCCCTGCATTATATCTTTCAAGGTGTTGGGCACTTGCCGAAAGAAAATGTCTCAGCAGATAGCGCCAGTTGCAGGTAATAACTTGATGAACTATCTCAAAATATAGAATTTGGGCTTGATTGGTTCATGTAAGAAACTTTTCAATTTTATAGTTTATGGATAATTGTGGAATTATGAACATATGGGGATCCTAAGTATGATGTAAACAAAAGGATAATAATGTACTACCAAAATTAAACTAATTTTGACACAATATCATACGCTCTCATGTTATTGTTAACGGCTTCTCAATATCAGTATATTAACACATGTACTGGCAAAAGTGTTTTCAACCAGCAGTTGTTTCCTTGACGTGAGGATTCCTGTCCTTAGATGTATCACATTCCCCCTGTATCACCAGCCTCACAGTTAAACTCAACTTTATCCGCGCTTAAAAAGTTGAACATTTGCATTTGCAATTTTAAAAAATTCAGAGATTTTCATTTACATTAATCCAAGATACAGTTTTAAAGAACAGATTTTATTAAGGAAAAAAATCTCTATTATCTAATGTAGTTTTGCAATGATAATTTGTTGCTTGCAATATTTTCGAAAACACAGAGAGTTCGTCGAAAATGGGACCAGTACCACTTTCTTTACAATCCTTTGCTATATTCCAGGAGAACATGTCGTTGAAGGAAAATCTCCCTCTTCAATATTGTAGTTGTAAGAGGACGATGAAAAACTATTCAAATTTGAAATTTCAGAAAAATGATTCAACGAAATTAGTACTGCCGTGTTAATGAATCAGTCTTAACGTTATTTGAGGAAAATAAATAATTTACAAATTGTATTAATTTTTGAGAAAAGTTTGAAAATATTATGGCTCTGTTAAGAGTAGAGAAAAAATTAAAATATCCGTTTCAAACTCACAGGGATGTGAGTTCGTACAGATCGATCAGGAATATCCATTTTGGATATCAGGGTCTCAAAGTAAGAGCTCTTTTGTCGATAAATGGCTGTCTTTTGCTACTGCATTACAATACTTTTTCTTCACTATGTGCCTAGTAAGGCGAGGAAGTAAAATGAAATGTAGTCTCAATATCACAAGAAATAAGAAGAATCTGTTAGTTGAATAAATTATATGGAATTCTAGAACTTATAAGAAGCTACTATAATATAGAACGTCAGACAATTGGAGAATAAAAGAAATGAAATGACGATTAATTCTCCCAAATGTACTTAGAAAAGAAAGAAATCGTGATGAAGATTAAATGAACTACAAAAAAATTATTTTATCAATTGCAGTCTCTGGTTTCAGAATACTCTCTGGGTGTAGAAACTAATATCAATGAAATAGATCTGACATCTGGTGTAACTCCTTCTCTGATTAACTATTACATCGAGTTTTGTGTCCATCAAGTAATTATGAAGTTAATTGGATTTCAAGAGATTTATATCTTCAACTCTATAACTCTATAAAAAATTAAAATAAAATATTATAACTTCCGTTCCGTATATTGAATAAAGAGTTGTTTAGAAATAGTTAGGCCCCATTGGTTCTCAAAAGGAACTCCATGAAAAAAATCACTGTTATTTTCCACAATGTGTAAGTACATACACCGTTTGTATTTTATACAGTGTTAGAGAATTATATTTTGGGAAAATTGGGATCGGTATAAAATATAATGATATTACTGAGGTATCAAGGAGTATTTCATTTGTCAGATATCATTTGACCTCGAGGTATGAAGGCCGAGGGAAAGAAAAAGTAACTTAAAACGGTTTTCGGAAGAACATTTATTAGTTATAAATTTAGAGAATTGACTAACCATTCATTAGATTGTTCCTGCATCATATGAATCCTGAGATTTAAATGTCGCGGTGTACGCTGTGTGACCAACGCGAACGAATCTTTAGTTCTCGGATCTTTTTTGCTGCCATTGCTGGTCACACAGTCGAACCAGATAGCCGACGTTGGCAGGGAGAGATCGTGTGTTAATTACATAGGCATCGGGTATTATAGAAAAGCAGCAAGATATCATTTAGTGCAGAGAAAGATTGTCTCAATCTTGGTCCATCGTAACATTACAATCTGGTGAATTTTCAATTTCATCCACGTGGTTTCCTGAGAAGAGAGTGCATCCATGTTGTTCTCAAGAACATTGAAAAGGCTCATGGTTAACACAGTGAAATTTGGAAGTCAGTACATTGGTGAGTATAAATTTATAACAGTGTAGTATTGGTTTTCATAAGATTTTACAGGAATGAATCGATAATAAATTATGAATTCAGAAACAAGTAATTTATTATGAATAAAATGATTAATAACTGTTCTATTCTTTAATAAAATTGGTAACAGTAGACAACAGTGATTACATATACAGGTAGACATTAATGTTACAGTTTCACAATATAAGACCTAGTATTTAATGTTCTGAAAAGTGCAAGAAATGCTTTGTTTGGAATAAGATTTACATCTCTTGGAAATTACATGCTGATTAATTATGTGATACATTGTTATGTGCACTGAAGAACGGGTATATCAAGGACGCTTCGTACAAATATGAATGCGAGTTGTATGAACACAAACGATCGTATGTTTTTATCTTGAATTAAATCCCAAACAGAACAGGTAGTGAGCTTCCTAATTACCATAGAATCGAAACACGTTGTACACCTTACGAGTGCAAAAAGAATCGTGCAATCTCCATAGTAGATACTTCGTTGTTGTGCGGTAGCTCCCCTTACATCACTCCGCATTCCACTCACAAAGAAGACCAGCTCGAAGGCCACGGCGGCTATAACGATCGAAGTGTGACCAGATCGTTAAAAGAGAAAGCTGATAATTGCCGGCCGCTGGCAAAGAAGGGCTGGGCAGATGGTCCAACGCGAGTCGAAACTTTGAGAAAATCTCTAACCGTACGGCAGAGAGTTTATCTTTATCGAAAGTGAAGGATGGGAAGGGGTGGAGGCCGAGAGTCTGACGCTGGGATGTAGGTCACGGCCCCCTCGGAGCACGGTAGCGACAACCAACGGTACTGTGCGTACAGGTACAGGCGGTTGGCGGGCGGTCGGGGACGATGTTTGTGATACGACAGCTGCGGTGTCAATGGCCGGTGAGAAACTCGATTCTCCTAACTGGATTTGAAATCAATCAATTCATCAGGCGTCAGGAAAAACTTGCGGGGTTCGGGTGTAAATAATAGCTTCTGGCATTTTGGAGGAACTCGATTTGGGCTTTTATAAAGGATGTTCATAAATTATAATATGGAATTTCTTCAAAATGTTAGATGTCATCCATTATTTACACCTGAACGTTTAATTTACGAATAGATGTTTGATCTTGAATTTGCTCTGTAGAAGGGGTGTCGTGTTTAAAACATAAGTTTTTATCACTTTTTAACATAATCATATAATTTATATTTTGATTCATCAGTTGAATGATAAAATAAATTAAATTAAGCAAAAGGCATTTAGGTTGTTCATCTTCCTGTATGTCAGTCGATTGATTCCCCAGTTGCCACACTATTTCATTGATAGTGAAGTGCGTTCAGGAGAGCTGTTTGTTGAATTAAATTTACATTATTTTGAGTACGCTCTTCTTTTTCCTTCTTTATTTTTATTAAACTGTGCGTTTTATGCTGATGCAAAGAATAAAAGTTGTAGGAATCACTCAAAAATAAGTCCTGCCAGGAAGTGCAGGAAGGAATATGTAGGAAGAGTCGGTAGAATGTGGATAGGTCCGAGAGATGCGAAGAGAAATAATAATTATGTAAAATATTTATATATAACTGTTCAAAATTGTGATATATAATAGTATCAGAAGAGTATTCAGTTTATTGCTCCTAGTGAATAAAGAAATTCCCTAAGTTAAAGCCTTAATGACGGCTTAATAAAAGCAGAAATGTTGTCATTTTCATGTCTTTTCATTGACCGAAACTCAAAACAAGTTCTATACTAATAATCAACGCGGTCAAGAAATCAATCACTTATTAATTTTATGTTATACAAAAGGAAATGGCGCATTTTAATAGGATATTTTTAGCATTTTTCTTCGATTTCAACTAAGTAATTTTTCAACCTTTCCCAACATTTTAAAATCATTTTTCGCTGATTTGATCGATTTAGTACCATATTAATGGTTCTTGCTTCAAATAATATTTACGAGATGCTACAAATGTTCTCCATAGAATGCATGAGTAGCCTATTCAGTTTCTTCGCTCAGAAATTGTAATGTCAGCCGTTGCGAGTATGTAATCTAAGGTTTCTGTGACGCCTGTCAGCGCCAATGATGATTGGTCTGATTTCGAGATACGTACAGACAGAGATTTCCTGGTAAAGAATTGTGCAAACCAAGAGTTTGCAAGTTGAGTTCACTTGAACAAAAGGACGAAGCTTCGATTACATCAGTTAACCAATCCAACAGCTTGAGTTGTTCATGTGAAATGGTTTTGGTAAAAGTTTTGTTATTTTTCTTTGCTTTTAGGATATTTTAAAAACGTTTTAAGATCATTTTATTAATAGTTTTGGCGATGTTTTAGGTTATCACCATTCGCCCCTTACTGATTACAATCTGTGCTCTGTTAGAAACTCTTGCAAATTGATAAGATTTTATTCGATTTCAAAAGAACGTAATAACTAAACATTTTGAAAAAAAGTGTAAAAAGTTCTAAGAATGATTAATTTCAACTCTACTTATATTTGGATGTGATAATGTCATACGCTGTAAGTTTCATTCAAGAAGGCTTTTATATATCACATATACAAATAAGTTAGATAACTACTGAAA